GCCAAGTTATGATAACATTACTAATGATTTCATTTCACTAGTTAATCAGGATGGCAAAACAGTAACAATAACATTGGGAAGGGTTTAGTTCTTGCTGGTTGCTTTTATATGTAGAAATCTATGTTCGAAAGGATTTGGGTATCTCTATAAAGATATGTTTTTAATATTCTTATTGAAAACAGTGCCTCTTAAGTTTCCAAATATCCACTGCATTAGGTGTATTTTCCCTGAAGGTTCAGGGTGTTTCCTTTCTAGACACAAACATGCACACATACTGAGGGAACCATAAAGGACGGAGCCTTCCAATTCCTTCTGTGCAGTATCTCCTGAGCAAAACTCTGCAAATATGTGTAAATGATCACATTTACAAGAGTAAGAATAGACATTTTTTGTGAACAATTAAAATTATGAAACACTGAGATTGTCTGTTAAACATATTTTTACCATTAAATTCATATTGTTGCAAACTTAAAAATTTGGCTCAAACATCCCTTGGTTAGTCAAGGGATCTTGAATAAGATTGTAATATGTATATCTTCTAAAATATTTTACTTTTTATAGTTTCATTTTAATTAGATATGTCAATGTGCTGCTGGAAAAGAAAAAAAAATAATGACCTAATTTGTCTAATGTCTAATTGAGATACTTGCCATACATTGAAATAATCATTGGTTATAAAAATTATTTATAGTATACAAATTATTTCAGTCTCACTTCCTTTTTTAAAATTTGTATTGTGTTTACATGTGTGAGTATACTCACTTAGGGACCTGCAAAATCATAAAAGGTTAAACAAATTATGAATCTGGAAGGTGACAATAAAATTTAGCAAAACCAAATGTGTTTAGTGTCTATACAATACAGATGCCCTTGATACATTTTACCATCAAGGATGATAGAACAACTTCTCTTTAAGGCTGAGACACTGTACCACTTTAGGAAGTCAGTTGTTCTTTTCCCAGACTTGCTTTTTATTCTCTCACTTCTTTTTTGATGCCAGAGATATCAACTTGCATATAAGGAAAGCAGCTATTTAAAATAGTTTTGTTTAGGGGTGCCTCAGTGACTCATTCGGTTAAGTGTCCTACTCTTGATCTCAGCTCAGGTCATGATCTTATGGGAGCAGAGCCTGCTTTGGATTCTCTCTTTCTCTCTCTCTCTCTCTCTCTCTCTCCCTGCTCCTCCCCCCTCAAACTAAATAAATATTTTAAGAAATACAAAAATAAAATCATTTTATTTGGCCACCTTAATTTACCACCGTACTAGAAGTTGTAAGGTTAAATAATCCATATTGATATTCAAGCCACTTCTTTCAGGCAGAGCATATATATTGTGGTCTCTAAATACTTCGCAGTGTTCAATGTTTTAAAATAATGGTATTTTCATATCACTTAAAAAATAGAGACATAGCTAAAAATAGACTTAGAAAAAAATTCTTATTGAACTTGTGTGAAAAAAAATGGAGCCTGGGACAGAGAAGCCCTATATTTGGATCTATCGTTAACTTTATTTTCTTAGGCTAATTATCTAACCTTTCTGATTTCCAGTTTCTCAGTCTGAGAAGTGAAGTATCTTGGCTTACATGGAGGATTAAATGAGACAATAAACATAAAAGCGATTTTTCAAAGATTTGAACATTCCTATATAGGTAGAGCATAGAGTTCTGTTAATTTTACTTTAGTCTTGAAATAACTGATGACCCTTTTAATCTGAGTACTATGTTCTTATCATATTTTTAACTCAAACCTCCAACAATCTCTCTACCAAAGATTTTTCTTTATCCTATGACAATTTGGATTAAATTGTCAATTTAAAATGATTACATGTTAGAAACTATGAAGACAAGAGATATCTCTATACTTTAGAATAATAGAATTTTTAAAAATTCTTTGATATTACGTTGAACTTAATAAGTGCCCTGAAGACAAATGCATCTTTTAAACTAATTATCTGCACTGTGTATTCTATTTAATATTAAAATGATACTGATTAAATAAAATCAATCACATTCCTCTGTAGTCACACCTCACGTTTGATTAAATACAAATATACAGTTCCTATATTAATTCTGATTAAAAATATATTACATTTAGAATTATACAGTCATGATAATTTTCAAAAAGCTAAAACATTTACTCTGTTAATCCTTGATATTTAGAAATCATATACAGAAGAGTATAATTGAAGTAATATAATATCTGAATTTGTTCTCTAACAAGTTTCTTGTTTGTCCTTTACCTGGATACCATAGTTTTCTTATTGTAACTCAAGGGTAAACCACTTATAGGCATATTAGTTTAATATACCCTCTTTGCCTACACACCTTGATTATAAGTGAGCTTTTGTATACATTGTTTCATCCCTCTTATTCTTGGAAAGAATTTTTAGTGTTGCTGTCAGATACTTGAGTGTTGCTAGAGATAATTCTCTGAGTAGGTGGCTTTCTCTCTTAACACATTTATGACTTTTTGACCCACTGTGCTTTCAATTTTGCCTTATCCTGTTACTTATTCTTAGTCAACTGCTTTCACATTCTCAGAGAAGTAGTGACAAACTTTCTACTATTTCCTTACTCTCTTCTCACTACTTCTCTGCCAACATCACTCACTCTCAGTAGATGACCCATAATCCCACTACCTTAAGAAGGAAGAAGGCTGTAACACGAATATCCATAAATTACCAATTCTCCACACAAGTGGTAGCAAAGTGCCAGCTAGGGGTTAATTTCATCCTACAGTGTGTTTTGGGGAAAGAATGCCTTAAAACAGGGTCCTCATAACCCAAATTGGCATAATTTTTGTTTTTTGTGTCATCAAGCCATATGATTCAAATATATCCCCAGCCTCTATTATTATTTTTCCATTATATATGCAGAAATAGATATATTTTATTAAGTTGAATCTTTTATATATAAATTGCAGGTAGTATGACATTACATCGCTAAATATGTCAGCAGGCATCTTGTAAGATTAAGGACAATTTTTTATACAATTTCCATACTATTATCACACATAGGAATATTAACGATAATTCCATAATATTAATCACTATCCTGTCTATTCAAATGCTTAAATAGATCTCAAAAATGTCTTTTATAGGTTTTTTTTTTCTTTTTCTTTTTCTTTTTTTTTTTTTTTTTTGGTGCTTGAGGTGGGGTGGACCATATCCATTTAAGATTTGTGCATCACACTTGCTGTTACTCTAAACCATTTTGACAACTATAATCTTTTCACTTGGCTTTCCAGTGCCTTGCTCTTTACAGACGGGTAAGGTGAACATAGACTCTTCCAAAGATAGAAGGCATCTGTGACCTATGTCCTGGAGACTGTTTGATGGGCATCCTAATTTTTGCTTGAGAGTCTCTGGGACTTTCCTTGGCCCATGGCATAGGATAGGATAAGGAATCACAGGATAAGGCACTTACTCTGGATTAGAGGGAGAGCAAACATAGACTATAATAGAGATGGAAGAATTACACTCATGTCTTAAAATGTTTATTCAGATGTAAGCTTGAACTAAGAGCTGAGAAGAAAAAAATAGGAAAGCTGACAAAAAATTGAGGTGATGTAGATTGAAATTAGCACATTTTTTCCACCCCCCGTTATCTCAAGTGTTATATAGACTGATTTGGGCTCAAAAGTCAAGAATATTACTGAAGTCAGAAAGCTTTCTTTGAAAGTTCTATGAAATCTGTTTTCAGTCCATCTGAGAAATGGCAATTACTTCCATAGGGTTTTGCTGTTCATGGGATAGTTAACCTAAGTTCATCCTTTCAGACTTCATGACTTATTTTGATGAAAAATCTGCAGCTAAAACATTTTTTACTTACATGATAAAAATATCTTCTAAATAGAGTTGTGTTCCTGGACACTTCAAATTCCTCTGTGGCTTCTCTAGACCCCTTCTTTTTCTGATCCACTTTTGTGTGCACTGGATCCTTCTAGTCCTCTATGCTGAGTAGCTGGGAAGTCGCTTCTGTTGCATTAACCTCCATGTAGCTATTTATTCTTCTGTTTCTTGCTGCCTTCTTGGACTTACACTACATCAGGGAGTAAACTAATGTCTATGTTCTCAGATTTTTCAGACCCATCTTGGATATCCATTTAGAGTCACTTTCACATAGCCCAGTCCTGGGGGTAAACTGGATTATACTGACCACTCCCTCCTTTTCAGAGACACACAAATGTCTAAGACCTTCTAACTTGACATCCAGCTTCATACTTAGCCCCACCACACACACCCCACCATTAGAAAACTTTATCTAGTATTATGTGTGTGATTTGTCAACAATTCTTCCAAATTTGCCCTGAGTCCCATAGGGCATAGACTTTTGGAATTGTTAACCTTTTATTCTGTTTTTTGCCAGAAACAAAGCTCCTTACTGTGACTCAGAAAAGGAGGGCTGGTGAATAATTGAAGATGCACTCTCATGAAGACCAGTTTCAGTGTGTTTAACTTCATCTTTTTTTTTTAAGTTACTCTCAAGTATAATTTTTCTACCTACTTAATAATATTTTCACTTTTTACTGATGCTAATGGAATTTTTTTTCTTATTTCCAGAAAAATCCCAAAATAAAATGCACACCATAAGCTATGTCTCCATCAAAAAGATACTGAGTGTTTTTAGCAAGGAATGAGAATTGGACTGGAAAATGGAAAAGTGGGCTGGGTAAATGGGCAACTCAAAAAATTAGTAGGGATGGTTTATGAAGGATAATGGAACTTAGAGATGAGTTCTTATTGCAAAACCTGAATGTAATATATCAGTATTATTTCAGAGAGGTATATGAAGCAGGTGAACAATATTGACCAATCTCCTTTGGGTGGATGAAGTTGCATTTTGGGCAAGTACTTCACAACCCAAATATGACAAGGAAATGCATTTTATATTTATTCATTTATTTCACAGAAGAAGAGTGGTATAAGAACCTTTGTTGGAATTTGTTTTCAGTTTGACTTTTGTTTTTTTTCAGCTTTAATATGAACTTCTCTTTTTTCAGCAGACTCTGTCCACTTCAGGAGTTTCAGTCCCTGAGGTGCGTAAGCAAAAAAGGTTTTCACATTTGGCCATATAGGTCATTATACATCTTTTCATTGTTATAAAGAACATTTGGGGCTATCTCAGTGACCTACTAATATCAATTTGTTAGTTCATTTTGTCTCATATTCTGATATTTGGAATTGGGGATCTTTATATTTTCTCTTTTTTTGAGTTTATTACTATTATTATTTTATTTACTGTGAGAGAGAGACAGAGAGCAAGTGTTGGAGAGGTAGAGAGAGAGGGAGAGACGGAATCTCAAGCAGGCTCTGCACCATCAGCACACAGCCTGACACGGGGCTAGAACTCAAACACCACGAGATCACGACCCCAGCCAAAATCAAGAGTCAGAAGCTGACTGATCCACCCAGGCACCCCAGGGAGATTTATATTTTCATGATAGGATTGACTTGAAACTGTTTCAATCTACTTTTGTGACAAACATTAGGAAAGCAAAAAGTTATATGAAACAAATTATACAGAGAAAAATAAAAGTTATTTTGCAAAGAGTTTTGACCTGTGTATAAGAATAGCATCATTCCTATTTGTCATGTTAAAATGTAAATACCTTACAGAAAACCCAAACGATGCAAAGTTCTATACCATTAAAATGTAGTTTTAAGTGATAGTAGATTGAGAAACTCTTGCTCACTTTGAAGTGCCCATCATTTTAAAAAAGAATGTATCTGCATTAATCAGTTAGCATATGACATTATCTAGGAATGTCACTGGAATAAAATATAGTTACAGAAAAAATGACTTCTATTTTGAAAATAAATATAGGTATTCCCATACCATTTATTTTCAGTAAAGTGTTAGCTTTGTCTTTGCATTAATAAAGGAAAGCCTCCACATTTTTCTGTGACCCTATTCTATTCAGTTGTTTCTATCTTTTTTTAAATGTTTATTTTGAGAGAGAGGGAGGGAGGGTGGGAGGGGCAGAGAGACAGGGAGATGGAGAATCCCAAACAGGCTCTGTGCTGTTAGTGCAAAGCATGACGTGGGGCTCGATCCCACAGATCGTGATGTCATGACCTGAAGTGAAGGCAAGACCCGGATGCCCCTATATTATATTTCCCCTAAATTATAATTTGAATCGGCCTCCTTAGGAAAAATATTATTTATAATATATGAATACTACATAAGGATATGAGTTTCTTTAGAGGAAAGCATAATTGTACAAAAATGTAGTAACCTCTCTTCCCTACCCACACCCTGCAAAAAAGTTTTCCAATTAGTGTAGCCTGCTTCATGAGACTTTTAAAACTTTGATTTTGTAACCAGACATATACTTTAAAAGATACTGGAAATATGTTTGAAAAAGTAATGTTTCTAATCTAAGAGAAATATTAAATTGTTTTTGTATTATTTAAGTCAATTGATACCATTATTATCATGATGGTTATGAAATAGAAATGTTGAATTACAGACTCAAGTGACAAACGTTCTCAGAAAGTTTATCACTTAGTTCAGTTATTTAAGTGTAAGAGAACTGATTTTGTATATATCAGGTGTTTGAGTTTATTTTTGCCCGTGAATATAGGCCCTGCATTTGAGATTTAAAATTTTCTCCTTAGACTTGATAATTTCCACAGATCTCCCATATTAAACTGTATAATCTGTATCATATAGATAGAATAAATAGACCAAACTGCACTTTTCATAATACACTTTTCTCATTTATTAAAAAAAAACCAATTTCTTCTTCTGTAAAGTTATTAAAAGTCTTCATACATTGCCTTTTATTTTCTGGCAAGATATATTGGTTTATATTAATTTAGACTTTTCACCATTGTCTGAAATCATCATATGAGTTTTTTTCAACTATGTTGTTCCAAAAATTTTCTTAAGCCCATATGTGGATGTTTACACTGGTGAGTGTGTGAACACACACACACACACACACACACAAACACACACGTATCCCTTTGTTCAACTATCAGAAACAATAGCTTGTTAAGTAATTGTTAGGTTAAGATGTATGTGGGGGAACTTATGGAAGGATATAGGCATACCTTAAACATTCAATGTGAAATATGTACATGTATATTTGTGGGCTACACTTTTGATGTAGGCTAAAGGGCTTTTGTATGAGGCCATATCTCTTGTTTGGAAATTGTGTATAGGCTTTCTTACATATATCACAGTTTTATCACCCATGGTAAGTTTCAGTTATCAATTGTTGTGAAGCAAAAGTAAAGCATTCCCTATTTCATGAAAAGATATTCATTTATTTATGAAAATAATTGTCTTCAATTATTTTCAATTTTTTAAAGTATAACAAAAATTCAGGGATCTGTAAAGCAATTTGAGTGTAAAATAACTCTTAATATTTTTTAAAGTTTATTTGTTTTGAGAGATAGAGCATGAGCAGGGGAGGGGCAGAAAGAGAGAGAGAGGGACAATCCCAAGTAAGTCCCATCCTGTCAGTGCAGAGCCTGACATGGGACTCAATCTCACAACCATGAGATCATGATCTGAACCGAAATTGAGTCACTCACTTAACTGAATGAGACACTCAGGCACCCCAGTAATTCTCAATTTTTATTAATTTTCAAAGCTTTTACAGTCATTGTGTCTTAATCCAACTGGACCACTCCTTCTACACACACACACACACACACACACACACACACACACACACACATACACACATCATGTATTATTGTGGTTCCAAAGAATGCAAGTTATTTTCACAGAAACAACTTATTTTACACTCAGGATTCAATGGTTTGAGTAATAATTAAATCACATGGTTATAATAATAAGATAACAAATTCTACTTGGAGCTGGTATAAACAGATTGGGGGCAGCATAGTAATCACTATGTGGAGCATTTAACTCAGCTGATTGAAAGACATGATGAGTATGAACAAACAAGAGTGCTACCTCCTTGCTTTTAAACTTTGGCTCAACATGTCCGTGGTGACAGTTACAGAGAGAGGAAATGGAGAGTGAGTGAGGTACGTATGCACACACATACTTTTATAAAGTCACAACCATATACTGGCAAACAGCCCAAAGCAAAAGATTTTGGCATGGGCCTTCTCATTCCTAAATTTCATTGCTTCCAATCAGTATTTCTTGAACAGAAATTTTGTAAGTGGTTTGCACCCAATATGAAATTACCCCAAGATAAAATAGTCACATTGTGTGTGATGTGTGAAAACCAGGACTTGGGGACCAAGTTGTAAATTGTACCTCCGGGTTTTGTTGGTGAGTAGCACCTCTAGGTCGTTTAAGACTAGCTTTCATTCTAATTGTTTGCCTCTCGTGTGCCCCAAAAGACCCCACCTGGATCACAGCACCACTTATCCCCAGAAATGGGGACTCAGCAGACAAATAAAGTACTACCAAGTAAATGAAGTGCTTCTTCACAACACCCATCTTGCACTCCTGCAGTGTAAGCAGCATACATGTGATAAGTTAAATGAGAAAATATAGCAATATACTTTTTTTGTATTTTAAAATTTTTGCCATTTGCTAAGTGCCTATTTTATGCTGGTATCTTTATCTACATTTTCTTAATTTATCGTCACAAAAATCTTCTCATTTTATAGATGAACTCAGTGGTGGCTTAGAGATAGCAAATAACTTGCCCAAGTTTGCATGGCAAATAAAATACAAATCTGGGATTCGGCCTCCAAGCCCATACTTAGGACTTTTCCCAAAGTAGTTTTAGTTTTTTAATAAGTCCTTACTTAACTAAATTAAGAAAGAAATGAAAACCTTTATAATATATCAATTATTATATCTATGTTTAAAGCTTTCTAAACTTTTTTTTTTTAATCAAAACTGCTTTGCTACTCAGCCATAATAAATTTTGCTGCAACTTCCAAGGATTCCTAGTAGATTTAGAGCTTTTGTTATTTTCCGAGTGAATTTGTTTCTCTCGGCAGGGAATGACTCCAGTTTCACAATAAGGTCACGATAATTAAAAGTGCAGTTCTGCAGCTGTCAGCCTTGCTTTCATGGAACCCATAACCCTTCTAAGCACCAATGAATTTGTTGGCACGTCTGCTTCCACGAGATCTTTTATATTGGGAATATCTAAGTGTTACCTTGGGTTCAAATTCTAGAGCTCCTGGGAAATTTCTGTGGCCTAGCTCCAGTGGCAGAAAGGACTAAGTCTCCCCTAAGGCAGGTAACTGAGAAAGCAAGTTCCAGGACTAGCTAGAAGGATGCTGTTGCAACAGTGCACCAGCCCACCCTTTTGTGGCTTTGTACCAATGGAGGTACTTTGCTGCTGCCTGTTTCTCATGCTGAGATTGGACAAAAAGAAGAAAGCCCTGTGCTCGAGGTAATCATCACTTGCTGCTTGTAGTTTGTGAGTGATCGATAACAGCAGGCTCAAGTATTGTGGTAAACATCCCTTTTGTGAAAGTGGTTTTCAGCAATGCACGAATACTCTACCTCTGAGAATCAGCATGATATAAAAAAATTTTTTTTTAAAGCACAGGTTTAAAGGGAGGTCTTTTTATTTCATTTATTTCATCTTTCTGTTTTCTGTGAATGGTCCTTTCGGCTTTTTTTGTTGGTTAATTATGGTGATTATTCTTTTGGAATTCTATTACAATGTATTCCCCAGTTAAGATCTGTTGTACTACTTAGAGAGTCTGAGGATCACAAAACACTGAATTCTATATTCAAAATGTCTGCATAGGAAACACAAATGGCTGATATTTGAAAATCCTGAAATATCAATAACTATATTTTATTTTTTGTAGTCATATTTTCTATATTTTGGGGGATAGAGTAGCTCTTTTCAGGGTTTGAATAATTTCTATTGATTAAAGCAATAATTTTCCAACTCTTTTTATATCTTGGATAATTTATCTGGCAGAACAAAATTTGTCTTGATTATAATAAGGTAATTTATTTTGTTATTTAAAGCCCAAAAACTTAAAAAAAAAAAAAAAGCAGAAGGTGAAGTGGTGAGCACTGACCTCTATTACCAGAAATCAATATTATCCTGAATAATGATGCAAAATAAGGTTGGTGAGTTCTTCTTGAAACTTTTCAGTAACTTCAATACTGGGAGTAATTCTCTTAAATATCACAATAGAGATCTGCCATTCAGAGTTAACCCCCACAATAGGCTAATGAAATTTCTGTGGACAGCAGATCTTTCAAAGATGCAATTGCTTCCCCTTCCTGTCCCTCATATGAAATGAAAGAAGTAAAGATTTTCGTAGTGGAAATAGGAAAAAGCATCCAACTATCATTCTGTGAGCTTATGCTGCTTAACTAAAGTATAGTGGGTATTTCATGGAGATTGCTCTACAATTTGGAAATAAAGATGAAACAAATGAGTACAATAAAATGATAACTCTGGGGAAAAGCTAAATGCTTATGAGTTTCTCCTGTTTACAATTTTCGGCCTTGAGTAAGTCCACGCATTCTACCCACTAGACATATTTCCCTTAACCAAAGAAACCATTTGGTTTCTTTGGGGTGTGTGTATGAGTTCGTGTGTGTGTGTGTGTGTGTGTGTGTGTGTGTGTGTGTTTAAACAAATGTTTACTATTTTAGCATTATCTGGATTATATAATAAAATTCACATGCAGGTGGAGGTACTGAGGATTTTTCTATTAACTTGTTGTATACCTCTTTCTTATAATTTTAGTTTTCAAAAATAAAATCTTAGTTGAACACTCAGTGTAGGATTTACATTTTTTTTTTATATCTTACAAAGGTTACTATAAAGCATTTGTTTCATCTACTCCAGTTTACTCAGAAAGATGACTCCCTGGAGAGACCTGAAGCTACTTAATCAACTGCTTTTTGCTAGTTGGAGGGTCTTACCAGCAATGGAATTTCCCCAGCTATGTGCATGCCTAAGAATAAAATCAAGTTAATAGATAATTTGGTAGCTCTTTACAGACATGCACTTACATGTATTCAATTTCCAGCATTATGTATATAAATAGTTTGGTCACAAATATCCAGTTCCAATATGACTAACCAACTTAAATTTTATTTAATTCTTGTAACCTAAGAATTTTAGGAATTAAATGTAAAATAACAATTGTTGGATTGTATGTCACAATCCAAGGTATTTAAGGTATGATAAGATATTAGATATATAAGATATTAGGTACATAAGTATCTCCTACACTATAGATTTTTATAGAGTATTTTATAGAGCATTGTATGTTTTACATACCTGTATGCAAGCATCCAGAAAGAAATTATTCCCATACCTACCTCAGTATTTTATTTTTGAACTCCTAATATAAGTTATGGGTTTTCAACTGTAATCACTGAGACTTGCTTATTTAATATACTTAATGTAACTAAGTGTAATTTTTCATACATATATGCACTTGGAAATAGAACAAACACTTTGCATAATACTAATGAGCACCCTAATGAGACAGCCACACTTTCTTATTCATAATAACTTTCATTTATTGAGCACATATTCTAATATAAGCACAATGTTAGGAATTTGTGTGTTTTCTATTAAATTTTGCACAACTCTGAGGAATATGTATTGCTAACTCCATTTTGAATAAGAGTTAAGTGCTCCAAGGTTACATAACATTTAAGTAACAGAGATGGGATTCAGCTCAGGCTTTCTGACTCCAAACCTCATCCTATAATCCACTCTTTCTATGCATTATACTCTTAACTCTCTAGGGACAAAATTGTAATTTGTAAATTTAGAAAGAATGATCTATCTTTAAAAAAAATCAATACTTTTGCCAGAAATTATGCTTATGTGAAAGTACGTCGTTTTCCAAAGAATGTGAATTTCAGGAATCCTATTACACCATCCATTTTTAGCCCCACAAAAAATATATTCAGTGATTTTACACCATGAAATTGCAAGGTAAATGGACTGTATTGATTAGCATCTATTTTGGTCTGAGAAATTTTCTGATCCATCTGGCCCTAATATAGTTAAAAAGAGCTTTACTTGTAAATCCAGTTAAAATATGTTCCAAAATTACAGAAATTGAAATGATGCTCTAAGAAGCAAATATAGGGACTAGAAAATATGTGTCACTCAAATATTTAAGCATACATGGCAGACATTGCTTTTTGATCAGAACAACTTTTCACTCCAAGCCTAGACATGGCCCAAGAATCCCAGCATTAAACTAATTAAACAGAACACATTTCAGGTTGTAATAAATTATATATTATATGTGTATATAATATGCATATATATGTATATAATATATATGTATAATGTGTATATATACACATATATGTATAAAACATATATATGTATGTATAATATGTATATATACACATATGTATAATATATATGTATAATATGTATATAATATATATGTATATAATTATATATAATATATATACTTTTATGTGTAAATATATTTTTATTTCTATAAAAGGAGGCTAAAGGGAATAGAGAAGCCAATTTGACATTTGAACAGAAACCTGAAATAAGTGAGGAACATGCCCAAAAGAAAGCTTTGCAGCAGAGAGAAGAATGATGGCCAAAGCTCTGAATTAAGAGTTTACTTGTGATCAAAGCATAATGAGGAGGTGGGGATAGCTGGAATGGAGTGAAATAGGACGAGTGTGGCTGTTGTATAGAGAATTGACTGTAGGGAGACAAAGATGGAAGCAGATTGATCCCTTAGTTGATGATTACAATAATCCAGGTAAAGAAGATGGCAGAGGCTTAAGATATGTAATGTTGGAAGTGGTGAGTAATCATCCAGTTTGGGATTTATTTTTAATGAGAGTAGGCAGGAAATTCAAGAAAAAATAGTTTTGGATATTTGAGGACTAATGTGTGTTTTAGACACACATGGACAGATAGAAAGGGCATTTGTATGTAGGAAGTAAAGTTTAAGGGAGAAATCTGAACAGGAACTATAAATTTAGAAGTCTTCCTCATAAAATTGAAATTCAAAGCCTTGGGATTTAATGAAGTTGCCTAGGGAGTGAGTGTAGATAGTGAAGATGAGCCATTCAAGGAAGAGGTTAAGTGTTATGGACCCTAAACCTGGGAGGGAGAATCAAAGAAAGAGACTCTGAGGAAGCAATTAGTGAAGTAGGAAGAGAGCAAAGAGTAAGAGAAAGACGTGTCCAGAAGCCCAAGTGAGGCAAGTGTTCAGGAGGCAGGAAGAGATCAGTCTTCTCAAATGCTGCTAAAAAGTGGAAAAGATGAAGCTGATCAATAAGTGTGGTAATGAGAAGGTCATTGGTGATTTTAAGAAGAGCAGATTTGGTTGATTAACGGTGATAAAATTCATTGGGTTGGGTTGAAGAGAGAGTGGGGGTGGGGGTGGGATAGAAACAGGAAACAGCCAACTCCACGAAATGTTTCCACTATGATGAACAAAGGAATTAGCTGGGATGGGATGTGTGTTTTAACTTTAATGCCATCCTTGATATAAATAGCAGCTTAAAAGTCCATCATGTCTTCATTTTCAGTATTGCTTGCATGTATAAGCCTTGTTTTTAGTGCTCAGTAACAAATTTCTTAAATTGTAAGTCCATATTTTTTATTCCTACCATTCCTTATGAAAATAATTTGTCTTACTGGTCCTTGATAACTTCTGGTGAAGAGTCCTGATTGGGCACATAGGGGGAATACCATCTGGCTTTCTTTAAGTGATAATTAATTTCTTTAAGATAATTAAAGAAAATAATATTTCTTCTTGTGCCTGTATCATGTGGACTGTTGCAAGCAACAGATTTCTTAGTAGTCATTAAGATACTCCAAATTAGGAGCATGGGCCCAAGTCTGTAGCCAATAAAGTCTTCTTTGTGTTCTCTTTTTTATTAAAACAGTATTCTTATAAAAGATTGTTTCCTTACAGGAAAGACAAGCAACAGTGAAAAAGGAAAAAGGTGGTTCCCAACAGTCAAATAAAGTGACTGACAAAAACAAAATGCAAAGAGCCAACTCCGTGACCGTGGATGGCCAAGGCCTACAGGTAGGACTTTTTTGATCAAATTTTAGTGGCTTTCATATTTGTTCCTTCTATGCTCTTACAGGCACATATGTCCAGCTGTCAACACATTTATTTAATGTGCAATTAGCTCAGCAGAGGACTTCAGAAAAATCTTTGTTAATTTATCAAGATGACGGTTTTATATCTGATTGACAGAGTGACACTCTGATTATATTAATCTCTTACGACATTATCTGCATTTGAAACTAAATGGTAAGAGATCTTTTGCAATTCCATAGGTTTTGCAAATCATTACTAAATGTACCATTTGTTACAGGCATACATGTTATTTATTTACAAGTTTACTTTCTCCATATAGGTTTATATATTTGGAAGAATCATTTTGGTGCCAAAAAAAATGTTTAGGAAAAAAATAAAATGAATTTCATGTGTGTGGATATTTTTATTGCTAAGAAATAATAACATAAAGGGTTTTTATGATTTATTCATATATTCCTTTAGTTTTAATTCAAAATTAAAACTCCATATATATTTCTAGTTTGAATAAACACAGGTAACTCAAAATCTGTTTTTAGCACCCTAGTATCTCGGACATCAGCAGTAAGATTACTTTCAACCTACATTTTTAGACATCCTAGAGATTGTGTGGATTGTATTTATTTGCCTTTATTTTTCACTCCAACCAACACGTGAAGTTGGCTAAATCTTTGTGACATTGTGCATTCATTTTTTTTTGCTTTTTTACCTATATATTTCTCTCTTCTAATTTTCATTTCCTTTTCTTACAACAATATGCTTCAAGTTTCATGTTCTCCAAAAAAAATTACCAACCACTTACCAAACAAAAATATATTTTGTCACATTCTTGCCTTCAATATACAGAACTTTGTATCTTCACTTTTCATTAATTATTTTATCTATGATATTATGGATTATGTGTTTTATATTTCCCTATATTGGAAGCACAGTTCAGAGCACATAGTAGTTGCCTAAATGCATGTTTCTTCATTATTTTGAAGATCTCATTAAAAATTTAATAATAATTGTTTAAATACTGGTAACCAGATTGCTGATTTGTTTTTGATCTAATAAAACACATTGTGAACAGAAATTTTTTAAGTGTTATTAAACTCAAATATAAAAAGAAGAAATTCTAAATGATGAAATTGTTACATTGGTTAGAAAGTTTAAAAATTAAAAGAGTAAAATTAAAAGAGTATTAAAAGAGTACTAAAGTAAAAAAGTACTAAAAGTACTAAAAGGATCTACACTTTTTGGTAGTCATCTTTATATGTTTAGCAACCTCATTGAAAGACTCAAATATGAAGTCTGTCTACTTGGATAGAAAAAAAAACTTAAGTGATCCTATTAAATTTTTGTGAAAAATATCAACATTTACAAATCTAATACACCAGCTGCAAATGTTGATTAATTACATCTTCAGTCATTCTGGGTTCCAGTGATGAAAATATCAGAATGGAGAATTAATTTAAAAATCAAGTACATTTCACACATGGCTAGATACATACTTCTCAACATGAAAGTTAAACGTGCACCATTTGTCAAACGGTATATGGTAGACACGGTGATAATATCTTACGCCGACTAAGTAAGTGAATCTTCTCAATAAACATATTAGATAACTATCCTTAATTTTCTCAATAAACATATAATGCATATCATCATTATTATCATGACTTTCAAAATGAGGATACTGATGTTCAAAGGCAAAGTTATTTCCAGGGCCTCCCACTTAGTCAGTGGTAAAGCCAAAGTTTGATAAGGACAGTCTGACTCAGAGTTTATGTGTTTTACTCCTAAGATACCTGGCCTCCTTGGTTAACAAAGTTTAACAGGTATATAAATGCTAACTTCTTGACCGACTTGTTCTGACTACCTGCCTTTCTCTGTGGACATATTGCATCTCACAGAACAGATAATAACTTTTCTAAATTTTCTTTAGAGTGTGAATTTATCAGGTAAAGTTGTTAGTCAGGACAGGGTAGACACCGGCCTTATAAAACAGGAGTAAATAAATACCTTAATTATTGTCATCATAGTTTTTTTGAATTTTAAATGTTGGTATATAAGTCATGTGCAATAGTCTTTCACCTCAGCAGTATGGACTAAAATTAATACACATGGGTATTCACATAATTTGGGGGAAAATAGAAAAAAATGAAAGAATAAATTATTGGATAGCTAATGCAAAGTAGAAAAATAAACTTTGTTGTGAGAAGCAACTTAAAAATAATAACATGGTTATTCTTTATCAGGAAAGATAAAAAGATATGCCAGGAAGTTAATTTTTCTGTGAGTTTAAAAAAATGTGTATCATGAAAAAGCATTGAGTTGCAGGCCAGTTTGCAGAGAAGTCCATGACAGAAGAGATCTACCCTGCTTAAAGAAGACTATTAATCATAGTTAAGCACATTCATCTTACTTCTTTCCAGCTAACCAGCATAATGATCAGGATTATTATTTCTAATTAGAGGAAGTAATAGATCATGTATAACCTTAGGATGAGTCTCATTAATTAACCCGGGTCCTAGGGGACTTCAAATAGAGGTGGTTAGGCACTCTGTCTTTGTCATCGCTCATACCATAGGTTTACACTTAATACATATGATCGAATGTAATTGAAACTACAATTTCTAACACGCACGAGATGTAAAAATGCAGTAAGTATTCGCATGTGAACAAATAGGTGAAACAGAACCATGGTTTAAACTGTATTCAACTGAAGTTTCCTTGTCTCTAATTATTGTCTGAGAAGAATTTCCAAATTAAAGGATCACTTGAGAACCAAAAAGTCGTTTGTGATACTCAACACTAGAAAGAACAGGGAACCTTTATATTTAAACATGTAAAACTGAGCCAGTGCCATGCCCTGCCACAGTGCTTCTCCCTGTCCCTACTGTCTTTCTTATTTGCAGTATCTCATTCTTTTAATTACCGAGACTGTAAACATATATATATATATATACATATATATACACACACACACACACACACACACACAAATACACACACATCCATGTGTAGTATAAATGACTTTATAGTGTGTGTATACAATTAATTTCCCGTTATTTGATTGGAGTGTGTGTGTGTGTGTGTGTGTGTGTGCGCGCGCGCGCACGTGCGCACGCACCCCTTGACTACTTTAGGAACCTCAAGCCACTTGGCTCTTCCATAATTAGCTCTTCATTGTCATTTTAACTCCCTAAGTCCAGAATTATTACTCTACACTTTAAGTAATGCAACAACCTTTAAACTGAGTTCCTGTTCCCATAGTTGTAATGTGCTAGCTTATCAATAATATGGAAAAAATGGAGCTCCATATGAAGTGTCAGGACTGAGAGTTAGAATTGTCTCTAATATTAAGTAACATGGCCAGATTTAGCCTCATTAAAGTGTGATATTTGAGTAAAGACTTAGGTGAGATCTTTAGTCTGTGGATATCCAGCGGATGGGCAGCCCTAAGGCAAGTGCATGCCTGGAAAGTTCTAGAATCAACAAGAACAACTGCCTGGTTGGAGCAGCGTGAGCAACATGGAAACTGGTGAAGACTACTTTAGAGAAGCAAGAGGAGCTAGACGTACAGAGCCCCCAAGGCCAGTATAAGAATTCTGACTTTCCCTCTGAGAGAGATGGAAAAATAGAACATGATCTTGACTTAACTGTTGAAAGGCTTACTCTTGTTGAGAATGTTAGGGACCAAAGAGTCTAGGTTGGAGATTTTAACTAGGTATTTAGGGTTTGTAGGATAAAGGTATGTCCAGAGTAGAGCACGAGAAGTGAAGAGATGGATTCTCCATATATTTTGAAGACACAGGCAACAGGATATGCTGATAGATGTGTGTAGGGTTTATTACAAAGTAGAAATTAGGTACATCTTTAAGATGATTGGCCCATTCACCTGAAATGATGGAGTTGCCAGTGACTGACATGGAGAAGGGTCTGGGTCAATAGGTTTTAGACAGAGATTTCTGATACTGTTGGACATCTAAGTGGAGATGTTAAGTTGGCAGGCAAATAAGTGAATCTAGAATTCAGAGCAGAGGATAGATACACATTTGGAAGTGAAAGTCATATTGATGGTACTTAAAACCATTAATATGAAATGAGATTACCAAGAGGGAGAATAGACAGAGAAAGGAGTCATTAAACTGGGACCCAAAACCAGTCTGAGTCAAGTCATGCCCTTTAATATTTACTATATGAAATGACCCCATTATGTGAGTAAGATTTCATGGGATTAGCTCTCTTCTCTATAGAGAAGAATCCAGTATAAACTTTCACATCCTGGAATGCCCTTTATCCAATTTATAACCATTCTTCAAGATTTCAGTTATCTTGAGCATTTCCTCCCTTTGTAAATATTGTCTTTGTTATACCATATTTCCTACTGCATTGTATCTTCAAAACTTGTCTGAAAAGCCCAGGGTTCTGTAGAGAGATGCCTCAAGCACAATGGTGGGACAATGGAAGGCTGAGGATAGGGTCAGGGTTCTTCTGAGCTTCAAACAGAGCAACTGGCTTTTCACCTGTCTTATCTATTCTTCCACTTAAGATTACTGCAAATGCTATAGAAATATTTACTTCCAAGAACAAATCAGTTTAGGCTCACAATTTTTTTATGTATGTATATTTTGGTTTTCCCTCCCCTTCCACAAAAATTTGTTAGAAAAGGGTACAATATTTTAGGAAGGTAGTAAATCAGTATGTAAAATAACTTGGGGCACCTGGGTGGTTCAGTCACTTAAGCATCTGACTTTGGCTCAGGTCATGATCTCCCAGTTCTTGGGTTCGAGCCCCACATCACACTCTGTGCTGACACCTCAGAGCCTGGTTCAGATTCTGTGTCTCCCTCTCTCTGTGTCCCACCCCTTGCTCACTCTCTCTCTGTCAAAAATGAATAAACATTAAAAAAATTAAAGAATTAAAATAACTGAATTTTACATCTTTAAAATTTTGTATGAAATAAAAATTGAAAATTCATGACATTAAAAACTATATTA